CATTGAAACGAAGACGAGATCCTTCACGCTAGACTGTGCAACATCAGGCTGTGTGCAGTGTTCATGCCATTTGGCAATTTACAACATAGTCCTTGGTTGTTTTTTTGTTTTGGGGTGGGGGGAACAAACAGCTGTTTACTTTGCATCTGTTTGAACAGCGCAGTGTGCGGCCTCTTTACGTAAGGAACTGCTGTGCCGTTTTAGTTCTCTGATGCAAAGACTTCCACGTAGATCGGAGCTACGTTACTGAAAGTCAAACGCGTAAGGGCCGGACATCCAGCAGTTATTATCATTAAGTAAGTTTGTTTTACGGTTTAAAATTGTTTTATTTAAAAGGAACCCATTGGTGGGGCAAACTGAGCTCACCCGTGGGCCTGATTTGGCCCCTGGGCCTTCAGTTGAATAGCCCTGACGTAGACTTCATGGCTCCGATCATGTGTACTGCATTAAGGGGAAAAAAAAAGAATAAGTTTGGTCTTTGAGAGAATTTAATGAAAGCTGGATTGCCTTAAACTTGAGCGCCGGCTGTTGTTTTTCCTGTACGGACCTGCAGACGCGACCTCTTTCTCTCGAGCCAACAAGCGCTTTTATTTCCCCTGTCGCCATTCCAATAAGATGCTTCTCCGCGCGGCCCGGTTTCTAATAATCTCAGCCTGCCTGAGAGATAACAACCGAAAAATCAGAGCGGCATCCTTCAAACCTCCAATTTCCTGTTTGTTTTCCTGCTATGGACGAAATGGCGGACGTGGGAGGTTTAATTGCACATAAAACTGAATCTAGACTTGGCACGTATCACTGACGACATTTTTTACTCTTATAATACTGGTACGACTCTCCCTGGTTAAGGCGATTGGTGAGCTTCTGTAGAAAATAATGCTGCCTCTTTTTTTTTTCTTTTCCGCAGACCGTAAACTTGTTATCAGGGAGAGGGGCAGTTGAATAGACTAACACTGTGCCACGTAAACGGCGCCTCTACGTGAATGTCAATAACATACTTTGGCATCTATACATGATTTTGGCCCATTACACCACAAAACTTACATATGAAGTAAAAGTACAGCAGCGATATTCGGACCATCCTGCTTCCTTGTTTTTACCGCATGTCCAACGGCGATGTGTGCTTTTAAAATTTTTTCCTCAAAAGATGCGAGGCTGAGCTTGTCTTGCCCTGTGCTTACATCATGAACACAGGCGCTCCTCAGACATGATCCACAACAGTAACGACTCTCGCAATCAGAAACAAACGACTCTGAAATGTTTGGAACTGAACAAAAAGAGGATTTAGAGAAATAAGGACAACTCTCCCGCTTTATTTTTAATTGTCCGAGAAGCGGGATGAAGTAAGAAAAACACAGCGTGCTGAAACTTTCTGTCTCCGTGCGAGATACTGATGGGGTGAGAACAGGAGTGCAAAGATTCTTGGTAAGGCTTTGATGAATGGAACGGCTGTACAATGGCTAAAAAACTGTGATTCTGTGTGTTTGTGTGGGGCGGTAGCGGTCACTGAAGAGGTTTTCACACTCAGGGGCTCTCATGCACATTGAAAAAGTAAACTGCAAGGTCTGCACGAGAGTGTTCGTGTGTCCATGTGTGCATATGTGTGTGTATAGATATATTTATATTTATATATATATTTATATATGACACATGGGCACTTTTTTACATCTTTACAAAGAAAAAAAAAGCAAACGTGACATTTTCAGGCAACAAGACCACAGAATAGCAAGTTAACAAACTCTTTTTTTAAATCTATATTTTAAATATGAGGGATCCATACAAAACACTTATAATAAAATACCCATGTTATCAAATAATTTCACAAGTAATACACTGACGCGCTAGGCAGGAAGTACCTTCAGAATTTGGCACTAAACTCCACTGATCTCGTTTTTTTTTTTTTCATCTTAATAAGACATTTTGCCGAACAACAAAACACATCTAAATATTGTTTCCCACGAGAAAAAATAAAATAATGACACTGATGCTTCACAAGCTGACATTATATATTTATATAGATATATATTTATATTTATATAATTTTTAGGAATTTTATATAGCTAATTAACAAGGAATTTAGCAAACAGGGACTCCTTAAAAAAAGAAGAAAAAAAAAAACTAATAGTAATATGAAAGGCTTCGTCTATTCAAGTAAACTGATTTTTTTTTAGTCTTCTCTTGAAAAACATGAGACATTTAAGACCGTTAGACTTAGGATGAATCCACAACTAAACTCACAAGAAGCACCAACATTAACGTGGGTTACAGGTATCTTTTTTTTTGTTCTATACATTTAGACAGTAGAAAATATAGGTCATTTCATCATGTGCATTTAAACCACGGATTGTCTATCTGTGAGTCAGTTCAGCAAAAGGTGACACAAGTAGGTAGCATTTCTCCCCCCCAAACAGGGCAAATGTCTTTTTTTTTGTTCTTTTTTTAACCTTTTAAACTACTCTAGAAAAAAGTGGTTCTATATATAGACTTTGAATGAGAAACAGAGCCACTTAAAATGGCCTTATCAAAAAACTTTACACTGCCTGAAAAATGTAAAAACCATTACAGAGCTCTGAGAGAGTCTAATATTGATCAGACAGTTTTTGTTTCAAAACTGTTCGGAAGTAGTCTTAATTCTCAGAGAAATTGGCACGACTGCTTCTGGCACCGCAGTAATTTTTTTTTTTTAATTGGCAACCAGAAGCAAGATGTCGCACCAATTCCTGTAGTGAACGTTCAAGTTTACTTTAAATCAAGAAAAAATAAAATAAAACTTACAGAAAGAAGAAAAAACTGAAAGCAAGTCACTATGCCACAGGTTGTTTGTTTTACCCGAAAAAAGAACATTTGATCTTCCATAAAAATCTCAGTCTTTTTTTTATTTATATGAATGCAGCTTTTTATATTTTTCACATTGATGTTTTTAATCTTGCCCGCACCTCACTTATTGCCTCCCTCCCTGAAACCCTCCCAAAAAACATATCCAAATGAGGTCTCATGCAAAAAACAAACAAACAAGAAACACAACAAAAAAATAATCAACCCAAAGACAAAAAAAAAAAAAAAAAAATCATAAAAAAGTCCAAAAAAGCCAAAAGTTCAAAAGGTCAGTTGGCAGCGGCGGTGGAGGAGAACCAGGTTATGATCAGGTGAGCTCGGAAAAAACATCAAAAAATAATGACGGGGTAGAAGGAGGACGATGACACTTATTTTCAGTGTTTGTTTTGATTTTAAAAAATTGTTTTGTTTTTTTGGACGCCACGAAGACATGCTAGGCAAACGATGAGCTAACAGGCATGGAGATGGGTTCTAAAAGGGGGAAAGAAAAAAAACAGGGAAGAGGAGAAAGTTACACACAAAGAGCCAGAGCACCACACCACATTATTAAAAAATAAAATTAAATATCAGGAGAAACAACAAAGAACAAACAGACCGGCAGAACGACACCACACACTAATTTCATTAGAATTTTCTTTAGCGTTGATTTCACGTTTCTTTTAACTATAAAATGATTTTAACGTTATAGATCTACACTAACAGGCAACACACATTCACCGTTAACACGTACACAAAAAACAGAGAGCGCCCAAAACTGTATCCATCAGTTCCCGATGGATGGCGACGTTTTGGGGGAACAATATTTTTTGGAACAATATTCTTTTTATTTTGTTATGTTTAAAAAAAAAAAAAAAGTTTAAAATTTTGAAAAGGGTAATGGTGGGAGGAGCAACGAACAAACAAAAAACACTTAAACAAAAGACAAGTAAAAAAAAAAAAAAAAAAGAGTAGGAATTCGACAATAAGTACCGGTAGTTCCGAAACAAATGGAGAGAGGGAGAGTTGCAAAGAGGAATGGATGATAGATGAGTTAACACACAAATTGTGCGACTGAAGTGGTTGGATTTGTGGGAGGGGGGATTACAAAAAAAAAAAAAAAGTTTTGTGGATTGTAGTTCCTGTACTAAAAAAATAAGGAAAAACACCGAAAAACCCAATTTCACGAGACTTCTCCACAAGGGTCTACTTTAATGATACGGTATACTTTATAGGAGTCCAATAACTTAACGATTGGCGATAAATAAAATCTTTTTTTTTTCTGAGGCAGTAAAAATGTATAAAAATAGAACTGCTTTTTTACAAATAAAATTTACAGGCCTGTGGCTTTTCTGTACCTTGATTTTTTATTTATTTTTTTTAATCTTTCAACAAACATCAAGTATTTTCAATGAAATCCCTTTAACCGTTTTATAGTAGTATACGTTCCTTTAAATTCTGGATGTTGTTTGTGAAATTCTACATGCTTTAATATTCCCATCACAACAAAGACCAATGTGATCCCAGAATATCGATTAATCATTTTTTAATATTTCTGCGGAAAGAAAAATATGAACATAAATCATAAGATGTAAATACGATGTGTTTTAGTGTAACGTACGGTCGGCTTTACTGTAACGAGACCATAAACGTTTTGTTGCCTTTGCTCCCGGGTCGCCAGCAGGCATAGAGGGGTTTGGAGAAGCAGCGGTGGCCTGCAACCAACACCGGGGAGGTCAAAGGTCGAATGTGCATATTGGTGTGCGCGTAAAAAAAAAAAAAAAAAAAAAAAAAA